ATGCTCAGTCAAGCAAGCGCTGTTTTTTTTTTTGTTTTTTTTTCTTCACTCATACCGCTTCCCGCGCCCCCCCTGCAATGGCATTGCGCCCCCCCTAGGGGGCGCGCCCCACACTTTGGGAACCACTGCCTTAAAGCATGGCGATGACGGCATCATGCTATGGAGATGTTTGTCAGCAGCAGGAGCTTCCAGGAAATGAAGCGATTTATAAGACATCCTGGATGAAAACCTACTCAGAACCACTCTGTAAATGGCAAAGCCAGATATATGGAACATGTACACAGATTTGTCCAATCAAATCTGATGGAGTTTGAGATGTACTGCAAAGAAAAACAAGCAAATCCACTGAAAGAAAGGTGTATTAGAGTTTGGCAGCATATTAAAAAAGACTTATGGTCGTTCCCGATGTAGAAATTTGTTTTCTATTCTTAAACTTTTAGCAATCTCAATTTTTTTTTCACATTCCCTGTTGTTTGATTTGTACAAAACTGATTATTAAATTGGAAAAAGGCTTTAAGATAACTAAATGTGAAAAAATATGAAGCATTGAGGATAATTTCTGGATGCAACGTAAGGTGATGAGACACCAAGCATATGCTTATAATTATAAAGCAAAAATATGTGTTGGAGACTCTGATAAATCAAAAGTCCTAAAGGAAAACAGCTTTGATAACTGTTGAGGTTAGTGAATGGGTAAAATAAAGACCTTTGTGAAGGGGTGATGTGTATCTGATTCCGATTTATTTCAGCCAATGAAGTTCATCACAACGAGATGCAAGACGGTGTGAGCGAACAGGAAGTCAGCGAAGGCCCGCTCAGGAGAAATGGACAAGAAGTCCCCTTTGTTCTGATGGTTGATCTGGATACGAAGACACACTGGAGAAAAAAAAAACAAAAAAATATGTGAACAAAAAAAATACCAAGAAATGCTGATTCATTTTCACTTCATTATACTAAATGCAGACAATTTACTTTAAAAAATTATTTTTGGAGGGGGGATTTTATTGATTTATTACAAATTGGCACATTCTGCAGATTTTTCTTTGAACTGTTCAAACTTATTTTACCTGTAAAAAAAAGTGAAAAGAGAAATGCAAGTCAACAAAAAAAATGAAATGCCTTTCTAAAAAGAAAAATCCACATTTTACAACACAGTTACACATTTACATGAAAGGAAGCTTCTGCGGCAAAAAGAAGTTCTAATATCAACATCTGAAAAGCTTAGCCTTTTCCTTGAATTAACAGCATCGAAGTGCCAGCTGTCACTGCAGTGAAAAGGTTAAGAAGGAAAACTGTGCATAAAGTGTCACGTTCAGGTTAACTTGTGCACTTTAAAAGGAGAATTTTTTTATAAATATCAATAACAAAAAACAACGTAACCCAGAGCTAAATAGAACCCCTATAGTGCACCTTAGCTATCTTTACTTCTTACAGCTCATACTAACAAAAAAGTACAAACAAATTCAGAGAACAGAATCAAACTCTCCTCTGACTGCATTGTAGGATGGAGATGCACTTCTGATAGATCTGTTGTGAAACCTGCTCTTAACAGATATTTTCATTTAGCAGTGATAGCACTCTGTTTATTGCAAGTTTCATAACTTGGAAAAAAAACAGTTTCCATCCGACTAAAACGCGATTGGGAAATCTAATTTTTTCCAGCTGCCTTGTCTTCTTAAAGATACAGTCCACTACATCATAAACTGCAGCTAGCAATAGTAGGTTCTCTTTTTATTCTCCATCTTAAGTGAGTTTGGCTTTGTGACAAGTGAAGCTCTTCATTTGCAGATTCAGGACAAAATATTATATTAATAGGCCAGGATATGATGCTATAGGCTTTTTCTATGAAATCAGTTCATTCAGCAACTTGCATTAAATATCCCAAATTATGTAATATGCATTTTACCATTTTTTAACCATAAAAAATTTTGTAAAAATTAAACAAGACAAAATGTCTTATTTTGTTTTGTATATGTTTTATTTCAAAATTTCTACCAAGGTTACTATTTTTTGAAGTAGACAAATCAATTGCCTAATATCCCCATAGAGTGAGCTAACATCTATCAATCAAGTGGCTCTCGCAGCCAACGGACAACAACATACAGCCAGGGTTGAATGCTTACCAGAAGTCTAAAGCATTGCTTTAATGATTTGACTAAAGCCCCCGCCTCGTGTCAGTAATTTTTATAAAAGTCACAGTGTCAGAAAGTAAGGCTGGGGAGAAGAGAAGTTGCATTGTCCAGATGGGTTGTGAGAGAAGCTGCTTGTATTCAAACAAGCTGCCAAACAAGAATACAAATCGAGCGATATAGAACTGGTAGCAATAAGTCAAATATGCAAAACTACTGTATACTTTAAAAGACACATTACTGAGGAACTTTTAACCTCCATTTATAACTAAAAACTGGCTGCATATTTCTTATATTATTTCAACACATTAAAAAACCACTTGCTGCATGTATTGAATTTATCACTAGTGATGCACCGGTCAGATATTAATGTCGAATATCGGTCCAATATAAGACAAAAAACAGCTTATAACAGATTTTATCAGATGGCAACTAAAATCTCAAATATTTACATGCTGATAGAAACACTGCTTCTGTTAAAGGTATTTGTAAGTCCTTAGTTTTGCATGGGTCAGTTGTTGTCATACGTTTTGTTGCTGACGTTTGTTCCCCGTTTTAATAATATTGCTTGATCAAGCCATTTGTAACATTCTACAGCATAATTAGGCTTTTGTTTGTGCCACTCTATAAGCCTGGAACTCAAATCTTACTGGCATAGGCCAGTATCAGGTATTGCAAGCCAACAACAACCTCAACAACTCCCCATTACTAAGGGGACCTGTTCTTCCAGTTCAGTTCATTTTCATGTTCTCTAAGCCATAAAAAGACTTTATTGGGCGACTCTATAAAAGCCTGGAACTCAACGCAAATCCAGACATTTCAATTGACAAAGCTTCCTGGATGGGAAGCCCAACGTCTTCAAACTTGGAAAATGGTCTTTTTTTTTTTTTTTTTACCATGTATTAGGGATTCACGATATTGGGATTTTGGCCGATATCCGATATGCCGATATTTTAAAACTCATGTAGCCGATAACCGATATCGATACCGATGTTAAAGCTGGACAAAAATAAATAGTCATTGAAAATAGCAGTTCTGTTATCCATTTCTGACACTTTGAAAAATAATAAACTTAATTTGTCTTTAAAAACATTAGATAGCTTCTTTATAACAAAAAAGAAAACATGCGGACATTTGTTTTAGCTGTTAGCCAGTTAGCACGAACCAGGCCAGAGCTCAATTTTGACCGAGAACTCTAAAATCAAGTGTTTTATACCCATCGCACAGAAAGCTTCATAAAAACCGTTGCAGAATTAGCTACCTGCGAGAATAAAAGAGCCCACGCAGGAGATGAAGCCTGACAGAAAGCTGTTGAATGGGAAGGTACCAACGAGGAGACAGTAGAGAAACTGCATCGCTCCGGTTAGCAGGATGTACAGCAGGTAAGCGTCCACCACTTTCAGCTTATTAGGCGTCGTGGTGGTGTACTCCTCCAAAAACCTGGAGATAACCGACACGACTGAGTTCGACATGATTCTTCTATTGTATTATTTAAAAAAGGCTGACGAAGGTATGCACAGCTTCTGGTCTTCACTTCTATCAGTGACGTGTCCTCACCAACCGGAAGAAGCCACTGTGTTACATTGATAATAATCCGAGTAGCACAGATTGCCGCTTGCCAGTTGTGTCTAACTAGTGCCTCAACGTAGTCGCCATATTGTGAGTGGCACGTCTGTTTAAAAACATCCGTTTCTCTGCTCCAACGCTTTACAAGTGATAATAAAATAAAAATGTAACCTAAATTATAATTAGACACAGCAAGACAACGTTTTACCTCCAATATTTCAAATACTAGGGGAAGACCTTCATATATTCAACACTGTTTACATTCCCAGACTATGGCTAAGGAAAACCATTTTTGCACTTATATAACCTTGAGTGATTAAATGAGTGCTCTCAAAGTTTGTAGTCAGTTCTTATTCCAAAGAAAAAGACGTGAATACATATTATCTCTTATCTGTACAACGAAATAACTCAAACAATGGCAATAATAATATCTATGAATATATGAATATATTTAATTGTGTAATTATCATTAGTCTTGTGTGTCATTATTTCATCAAACAACTTCACGCTGGCTTCAAAAGGGTTTGGCTAAAGCGAAACATTAAAAAAAACTAAAAATACATTTAGTTACAGGAAGTGAAACTGAATGAAGGTGCATGCTGAATTATTTTAAGTAATCTGTATATTTAGATATATTGTGACTACATTTTTTTCGTCATGGATATACTTGTTTATCTTAATTTACTGTCTCAGTTGTTGACATCGTGAGAATAAAAACTAAAACGTTTTCAGAAATCACAGAGCTTTGTTTCCGTAGCAAAGTTGCCACTCACAATATGTTAGACAACTTTACGTACCGGTCATGCGGGGGTGAGGAAGTCAAATTCCTACGTACAGTACGTAAACGTTACCCAACGTGAAGCACATAGATTCAAATAAAGGAAAGATGTTCAGCTACAATTTCATTGCATTTATAGTTTTTTGGCTATTTATTTTTAAATGTTTTTGCGTTTTAGATAAGCGTATATATTTAACTCACTCATATAGAAACGACATTTTTATTAACTTAATTATATATAGATATCTTAGACTTTCGGTGGGAATGTGCAGTTTAAAACGATATAGTTTATTTTTTCTTATGTTTGTATTGTTTGTATATTCTCAATTTGTATCACCTTGTGGAATGTTGTTAAACATAAACAATGGCTAAAGTGTTTTAGTTCTGTGAACTCTCAAAGGTTTTCTCAACGATGCTAATAAACAGGGGACTCAAATTTTTTGCGGGCAACTACATCTTTCTAAGAAGCGATCTTTGCACGCGGTCACATTACGTAGGAATTGGTTGGTTACAAAACGTACATAAGTTAAATAGATAGCAGACAGGGCTTAATGCAATTTCGGAGAAGTCGGTTGACATTTGTGTGTGACTTTGTTTGATTTGAATGTAACAGCCGATGGATCCAGCTCCAGCACCAGCTCCCATGCAGAACAACTGCGAGACAGAGTGAGTAACTTCCACACCTTTAACTAAACATCTCCGCTCTTTACATCACTCTACATTAGGTCAACTTGTGAAAACTGGACGTGTAGGTCCAGTTTTTATTATCTATAAGGGGTGAAAAATAAATAATGATGTGTCAGGGAGGTAGAAACTGCTCCCTAGTCTGGATTTACAATCTTTACGTAGCTGTTTATGTATAGCCTAATGTAAATGTAACATTACATAATCTGAAAAATGATAACCTTTTATAATAATCTGGCTCCTTGTTTTTAATCTGAGGGAATATAAACGTTTAATCGAGAATCATATGGTGCCATTATTATAATACATATCCAGTAGCCTGTTTAGTTTGTTTTCTATTATTAATGGTGGTTAAGCAAACATGCTTAACAAAAGCCCCTGCGTGAATAAAGGAGAGCAGAGGTTAGAGAATAATCTCCAGTGACTCAGAAAAACTGAGCTGCATTTTTATTGGTGGAACAGGTGATAGTTTTACCTTTGCCATTGATTTCTTCCTGCATTATCAGATGACATCATCCGGCATCCTTTATGTATTGCCTTTACTTTTTACCCACTTTTCTATCATCACAAGAAAAACCATAAAACTGATATAAATCTAAAGGTTAATACAGATATATATGAGGTAAAGGTAATTGCTGACTCATGTATTTTTACAAGTTTTGTTCACCATCAGATAATTGAGCTCACGTCACTTCAGTTCAGCTTCATCACTCTTTGTTCTCCAGGTTGGAAAATACAAAAAACAGGTGAGATTCCAGGTGCATTGCTATGTTATAAAATACTAATAACCAGTAAGAGACTATCAGGTTTGCACTGTGCTTTTGGTGAAGCATGTATAACCTTAAAATGTTTTAACTATGTTTTGTTTGTTTTATTGGAAAAATAACGCAGTGTGGTGAATAGTTATTTCATGGAAATAATAGATTCATTAATTTATTTGAAAAAAGAAAAAAAATTCTCAAGCATGAAGTTTGGTCTGTTGTATTCTCTTATGTTTTCCTCCCAGACTGCTCTGTATTTATGCCTCATCCTATCAATTCTGAGAACTTTTCCTTGTTGAAGCTGGAGGAAAAATATCCCACAGAATGATGCATCTACAACCATGCTTTACTATAGGAATGGTGTGATTAGTGTGTTAGTTTTCTGCCACACATGACCTCTTCCATGGAGTTCATGTTTAAAGGCACATTGTCAGAACATCTTTTTGCATTATTTTCTGTGTCTCATACACATGTGTGGTCAAAAGTAAACAGCATTTTTCATAGTTTTTTCTCTTTTTGGAAGTCCTCTACAAAGGAGAGTTTTGTAGAGTGATTCAAATTATTTGGGCAGAATCTTTAAGCAAATCAGTGAATCTCTGCGGCGACTCCAGAATGTTTTGGTTTCTTCTCTCAATAATGCTCTGAATCAATGACCTGTGAGGAATCTCTGATATGTCCAAACCTAAGGATGTTGTTAAATAAGCATAATCTGCTTTAAAATTTTCCATGGACTTTCTGCTGTGGTCCCCTAGCCTAATTATGCTGTTTGTCAGCGTTTTCTAAGCTTTAAGTCCTCTTTATAATGAAATTAATTTAAAGACAGGCACTTCATATGTATTTGCAATTTGTTGCACTAGAATTTATTTTAATTTGCTATTATCAAAGCAATAGAGGGATAAATACAAACACACACCTAAGTTTTCAGAGTTTTTTTAGTTTGGAATTCATTAATCCTTCAATTTTTAACTTGACATTTTTTTATTTTTTGTTAGTCTAAAGACAAACATTTCAATAAATCACATTAAAATGAACATAAAAAAGACCTAAGAAAAAGGATTTCTGTTAAACCATTTACCTTGTCATCTGGTTATGCGGTGTGTGCTTAAAGGAGGGGGGGGGGAAAATCCATATTTTGATATTTCCTGCATGAGAGAAAAGCACTTCCACAAAATGTTCCAAGGACCCACTTCTCTGACCTTGAACGTATTAAATAAAGGCTATTCACAGCATGAATGCTTTCAAATGCGCTGTAGTCTCTCTCTCTGTCTTCTCCGTTCTGTGTGTTTATAGATGCTTTTTTGTTACCTTGTGGGGACAGTGTAAGACCAACTTCCCCAATTTTTTATGCTCCTCTGTGTGGACTTACGAGTCCTTGTGCAGACCAGTTGCCTGTTTCCCATGAGGGAAGGTCCAGTTTTGGGGTAGGGGTTTAACCTTAGGATTAGGGCGTAAGTTTAGTTTTAGTTACCTTTAGGGTTAGATGTTTATTAGGAACAGTTATGGTAAGGGTAAGGCCGGGTCTGGGTTAGACCATAGAAATAAATGGAAGTCAGTCCAAATCATCTGGAGGATAACAAAAGTGTGTGGTTGGGAGTGTTATGCAAACGATGGCATTGATTACACTTACTCTAACCCTGGACTTGAGCCAGAGGCATTGTTAGTAAGCATTCAGCATGTGCTGAACAGTTTCTGTACCATCTAAAATCATATTCTTTACATGCTTCTCTTTTCATTTTATTTTGATTAGGTCAGGTTCAATCTGGAGCTGGTGGCCCTCCTGGCGTCCGACCTCCATGTCCCTGTTGAAGACTACAGAGTCTAAAATTCTTGCCTGTAAGGCTGTGTTCACAGACAGTATGCAGTTTGATTACGTAACCACTGAGCATTCGTTAGAAAACCTGTCTCACTGTTTCATTGCTCCACTCAACAGGTATTAAGAATGATTTATGGGCAAGGTTTGTGACCCTCCAGAACCAGGACCGAATATGGACTCTGTCTCTTACCAACAAGGGGACTCCCAAATCTGCAGAGCAAGGTATTGAGATCCTAAATAGTCCTTGCAGGAAGGAAATAGGCGTGAAAGCAAAATAAAAAAAGCTTAAGACTTTACATTAAAAGTCAGCTCTCAGAAGATTGATGTTTTCCTCATCCTGTTTTTCCCCAGCACCTAAGACTCCCCTGGTAATGGTTCATGGCTTTGGAGGAGGGGTTGGACTGTGGATCAGGAACCTAGATGCACTGAGCCGCTCACGGACAGTCTACGCCTTCGACCTTTTGGGCTTTGGTAGGAGTTCGAGGCCTCCATTCCCCTCAGATCCTGCCAAGGCAGAGGAGCAGTTTGTCGACTCTATTGAACAGTGGAGGCAGGCTGTTGGTCTGGAGAGCATGATTCTATTAGGGCACAGCCTGGGGGGCTATCTGGCTACCTCATACGCAATTCAACACCCTTCCAGGTAATTATTCATGGCTCTCTTTTTACTGAGAATAAGTTCACAGAAAAATTTGAAAAAAAAAAAAGTAATTAAAATATGTATATAGGAAAATAACAGACAAAATTCCTGCTTTCTACATTAATTAGGACCCCTGCTGTGTCAATTTGACAGTCCAATAACATACACGTCACTGCAGCATCTTTGATCAGTCCTCTGAGATACTCATGAACGAAGGTTGATTTTATGCCCATCGAACCATTGCTCAGTTGAGTTGAAGTCCTAGTAAACTCCACATGTTGTCATTTGTGATAATAGGACAAAGAATAGTGTCTAATGGTTGCTATGGAAACTTGCAGACTCCTAAGTTTCCACTCTGTACTGCGGTTTTCCAGTAGTTAGCTCTAAAAAGGATTTACCCCTCTTACCACACTGAATGCTTACTCTGCATTCTTTAGGCTGCAGTTCCACCTTTCATTGTTAAACCACCACTGTGAAGTAGGTTTACTGGTTAGCAGCTGCTTTCCATAAACAAATCCTACAAGCGCAATTTGCATAGCCCAATGCTAAGACTATTAAACAAGGTTTCTCTAAATGAAACTGATAATGTATCTTTTTATGTTCACTATTGCCTTAAAAATATTTACCCACCCAATAACATCTGTCTAATTTAATAGAGTTATCTTTACTGTTACAGCCTGCTGCAAATGTATTTAGAGCAACACAAAGTTTCTGAACAATCTTTTCAGATTTTAAAAATCAGCTCATGTTGAACATTTCTGAGATTTCTTTAACAAAATAATTAAAGAAAATGTTCCCTTTTATTTTTGTCACCATCTGGTGGTTATTCCATGTACTGCATTAAATACTACTACCCTTTTCTACATATAAGCTGCTTGTTCCAAATAAATGTCATTATTTTAATCTCTTTACAGAGTTTCTCACCTTATCTTGGTGGACCCCTGGGGCTTCCCAGAGCGACCCAAACCAGAGAGCCAGCAGAGTCAGGATCAAGGTTCTGAGGTGGTAAAGAGGCCCGGCCCTCCCCGATGGGCAAAAGCCATTATATCGATTTTTAGCTTGTTTAACCCTCTGGCTGTTATCAGAGCTGCAGGCCCATGGGGTAAGTATTTAGTATTTGTATTAGTTGAAATGTTGCACCATCATCTCACCATTTTGGTTTCCTCATTCAGGTCCAGGATTGGTGAACAGATTCCGCCCTGATTTTAAAAGAAAATTTGAGGACCTTTTTGATGATGACACAATGACACAGTATATTTACCACTGTAATGCACAGACTCCAAGGTACGGTCAAATAAGGTCCTAACATCTAATTTATTCCTGGGAAAAATTACAATGTCTCCCTTTCTTGTTGTTGTCTCTCACTCTCCCAGTGGGGAGGTTGGTTTCCGGGCCATGTCAGAAACACTGGGCTGGGCAAAGAGGCCCATGCTGCAGCGAGTAAATCTGCTGTCCCCTTCCATGCCTGTCACCATGCTGTACGGGGCTCGGTCCTGGGTGGACAGCTCATCTGGGGACAGAGCAGCCGAGATTAGGTGCAAGGCCTACACCAAAGTACTGGTGAGTGGACAAATGGCAAGCAACAGGCTTATTCAGTATATACCAGTAATAGGCCTGTAATTATTCATATCCCTTTAATTTGTACAACTACATCATCAATGTCTTCATCAGGATTTTATTTGATAAGCAAACAAGGGATGTCCCGATACAACTTTTTAATACAATATTGATATTGAGGTAATAAGGCAGCAACACAAATCATACATGCTTTAATTACTCGTTTTGCAGTCGGTAGTGTTAGAAAAGGCTTTATCAATTGGTATTACTTAAACGGAGAACGATAGTCGACAGCATTAGGTTTTAGAACAATTATCCAATTATTTTTAACCAGTGGGTTACATTAACTTTAAACTGTAGAAGATAAAAGCATAGTTTTTCTATCAGCTTACATATATTGGAGATTTTAAATGCAGGCCAATCAAATCCGATGCTGTATTATGGCTGTTATTCGACAAATTCTAAAAATTTATATTGGATAGGGATATCCCTAAAGAAAATGAAAAAAAGTTGTTCATAATTTGGAAAGTCAAATAATGTGTGTTTGTTTAGGAAACCAATAGATCTGACATGATCATCATGTTATTTGTGTTAATGTTAGAGTGGAGAGAAGAGAAAAAAGTAAGTTCTGGAAGATTGATACATGTCTTGGGACATATTAAACTTTTTTTTTTTTTGTGCCCTAATATGCAACTATAGGTGCCTTGGGAAACCAAGACTGAAAATTGCACTGGGCACCACATCACCAATATAAGCTAGGATAGTTACCATGGATCTATATATCGATCCGCCATTCAGTTTGACTTAGCTTAAACTATTCCGTTATGATGAACTGGCAATACTTTCTGTCCTTGGATTTACAAAGCTGATACAAATACTGTATATTCCAACCAAACTAATGCTACATTTACAAAAAAAAAAAAAAAAAAAAAACATTGTTCTTTAAAGTGTGCACTCTGGGAGCTTAACACCAATGCATGTCACACTTTCAACATGCATGACTTAGACTTAAGAGTTATTTGCTGGTTTTTATTTGTCTATAACATAAAATCTTAGAAAAAAGTATATAGAAGTTTTAATTGCTGTATGTTGAAATGTGAAAAGTCTAAACTAATGTTCTTATGAAAGGCACCTTGCCACTTCAATCAAAAGCTAAAACTGTAAACTTAGATGTGATTTTAGTTAAATAAGTCTGTAACTAGCTGTGTTTCATGTCCTTTTTTCCCCAAACTGTTCCCTTTGCAGCTGATAGATAACGCCTCACACCATGTGTATGCTGATGAACCAGAAGTCTTCAACAAGGTGGTGGAAAACATATGTAAATCTGTGGACTGAAGGCGTGTTTTTGCATCTCCAAAGAACCTATGATTCTGCGCTGTATCTGCAGAAGCCATCATGGCGAATCCAGCCCTGCAGCCTCAGCATGTCAAACAGTCTAAATGATTTGAGGCTTTTGTAGATATATTATGTGTCTGAAAGTAAATCTGCTCTTTTTTTAAATTGTTATAAATCTTTTTTTTTTTTTTCACTCCCAGTTAATGGACGATGTTTGTAATTTGACAAATATGTATTTATTACACGATTTAATCATTAATGTCATCCCACTGACAGTTAGCCAAATGTATTTGTCCAGCACTTAAAACTGTGGTAAGGTTGACTTTATGGTTAACACAAAGCGACATAGATTCATATCTTAAGATGCCTGTGTTTTATTTATTCCTGAGCTGCCAGATAAGCTTGTGATTCCCACTTTATTTTGTGCCTGGAAGGGTCATCTTCAGTTGCCTTCTAAGTCTCCTTTACTGTTTCATCTTATCACAGTCATATTTCATACCCTAAGAATGTTTCCCAACCACTTATCAGTCATGTACTACATTTCCCTACCAGTAGAGGTCAGTACTCATTTCTTTTGGGATCTGATAGATTTGTTTCTTCTTAGCAAAAGTAATAAAAATGAGCACCCTGTATTAGTCAGTTCATTGAAATATTTGTATATTTAATACTGTATTTGGCCTTAACTTTGATGAGATAATAGACTGAGTATTTGAGCAATAACATTTTGCACGGAATCTAGAGGGGAAGAGTGGCAAGAAGGACGCCATTGACAAAATAGTAAAAGAGATCCTATTTATAGTTTGCAATAAACCATGTTGGGGACATTAATCACTGCACATCAACCCATAAACATGCAATTTCATATCGACAGCAGCAAGATGCTGCTACTGTAAAGACTTTTTTTCTGTGATGTATTTTAGGATCTTGAGGTTTACCTTTCAGGGTAAACTTACTTAGATGTTCAAACCTGTTTACAGTTGTTTTGAATGGACTTCACCTAAAGACATTGTGTACATTGGAATGGATGATTTCCTTTTTTTTTTTTGACCTGTTTAAATCTGTACCTGGCTCATAAACGTCTACACTTTCCTGAACTGCTCAGACATGTTTTTGTATGTTACCATGGTGTTCAAAATTACAACCTTATATATTGTATCTATTATTACTATCTGTCTTCGGTTGATAGGGGGAATTGGTGCTTACCTCAAGGAAACTTTGGATAAGAGGTTGGGTTTAACTTTGATAGGTTACCAGTCACAAGGCTTCACAGAGAAACAGAAGACACACAACTATGCACACATGTACTCATACCAAAAGGATTAACAAAAGAAAGAAGAAAACATGCATGGAGAGAACGTGCAAAGTGCATAGAAAAGACCCCAATCAGGGTTTTGAACCCAGGACCTTCTTGCTGCATAGCAACCATAATTTATTCCTCATCAAAACTGATTTTTAAAGGTAATTTTAACATCTTCAGTTCCTGTTGATTTATGTTGCTTGAGTTGTTCAGTAATAGCAAAGTTAATATTAATTGTTCATTTGTCCATTTATTTAAAAAAGACATGTTTTTTTAGGACAGGTGTATATGAGCAGCTGTTCCAGTCCTGTCCTATTCTTACTTGACATCTCCCCCAGTGCTGCTGCATGATGCCCAACACTCTTTCAGAGTTAGTTTCGATCAGGTTCTCATTCGACACAAACTGTCACATGCGATATCCTTCCTCTGCACCCAAATACACCAGGGTTCGTTCAGCGCCTCATTGTGGATGCATTTTATGTTCACACTACCAGCTCTGCCATTTTAATGCCCATTGCAGGAAGAAAAAAAACAAAAGTTCAATTAGCTTGCTTGTCTGTCATTAATAATCACCATATCTTCATCAGATTTGATGCAGAGGTGTGAAGTAAGGTTGGAGGAAAATCTCATTACAAATTAACATAAGTTAAGATCAGTGTCTTTAAAATTGCAAAAAAGGACTTTCGCCAGTTGACAGCCTTCCTCTTCTGCACAACAAACTAAATGTTTTGTTTTTTGTTTCCTTTTTCAGTTAATGGTTAAACCAACAAAAGGTATTTGAAAACTGGCCCATTAGAGGCATTTAAATGCATGGTGTGAAATAAGAAATAATTAGGTTGTATTATTCACTAAGAGTCAGCCAAATTACCTTAAAGTAGGGCTGCAAAATGTAAAACAAAAATGTCTTGTTAAACAAATTACCATTATTTATTCTCAATTTCATCACTGATTCACTCAAGTTATTAAAACTGTAGTCAAGGACAGAAAAAAGAAACTACTATAAAAATCTGTTCATTTATTATGTCTCAGAAATATTAATATATACTTTCTCACTTAATCCTCCTCACAGCAGGAAAAAATGATCTATAGCCAGTCAGTCATTGATTTACCATAGAAACATCTTTAGTACATTACAGGGTGAGCACAGGTACATGCGACAATTCACATACACGAATACATTCTTAGCAAGGATGTGGGAAACCCACTAAAATTCTTAGTGTCCATGCCTGTTGTTTACATTTATCACTGCAGCTGGAACTTTTAACAGGCATGTGCACATTTTTTATGGGGGGTGGGCAGGTGTCTAAGCCAAAATAAAGCCCCACCCCCCATCAACAAAGTTATTCATCAAAAAACACAGTAGAATGTTGATGTGCTGGTGAAGATTCTCAGTCATCCAGGTCATAGTTATTCCATAAAACTTTATTTTAAAAAAACAATCCACTGGACTTTGTTTTCCAAGTTTAAAGACGCTTCACTTCCCATCCAGGAAGCTTTTTCAATTCAAAAATGCTGGATTAGCATTGAGTTCCAGGCTTTTATAGAGTAGCCCAATAAAGCCTTGTTATGGCCTAGAAAAAAATGCAAATTAACGGAACCGGAAGAACAGGTCCCCTTAGTAATGGGGATGCATTGACGTCTTGTTGGCCTGCAATACCTGATACTGGCCTATGCCTCTGAAAAGGGGAGTCATTAAGGGCGTTGTTGGCCTGGCTGACCAGGCGAGATGTCTTGGACCCCAGCATGGCGATGAGGATTGAGTTGATAGCAGGAAGGAATCAACTCTATTGCTGCGTTGTAGGTTTTTGAGAGCTGGAACCTGAGACCACCCTTTCTGTCTTTCAAACCACATGTCTTCTTTGTCCAAAATGTGAACAGTCTGGTACTCAAAAGAATTTCCTTTGTCCATGAGGTGTAGATGGACAGCCGAGTCTTATCCACAAAAAGCTTTGTGGATGGGAAGCAAAACGTCTTCAAACTTGGAAAACAAATTCCAGTGGTTTCTTTTTACCTTTTTGTAAAATAGAATGCTGATGCTTTTGTAGCCTCCCTATCAGTTGCTTAATTTGTAAAACTACATTGTTTTATGGTTTATATACAAATTAAAGGAATTAATGGAGCTTAACTGAAAAAAACTTTAATTTGAAATCATAAACCCACTTTAGTTAGTTCATGTAAGTGCATTTGATGCTAATAAAGTCCGACTAAGTAACAGTTTCCTACTAGTGTTTATTTTATTGATACTGCTAACATAGATCATGTTTTTATTTCTACATTTATTAATTATAATGTTAATAAACAGCGAAACTTTTTCTAGGCGACAGTAAATGAATGCATGAAAAATATGTCTTCACTGAAGGTGATTTTTCACAGAAAGTGTTTTAGCCAGGATCCTATAATTAAATATTGCATGTTATATTTTCGGGCTGCATAGTGTAGAAGGCAGCACTGTTGCCATGCAGCAAGAAGGTTCCGGGTTCGATTCCTGACCAGGGGTCTTTCTGCATGGAGTTTGCATATGCTGTGCATGCATGGGTTCCCTCCGAGTACTCTGGTTTCCTCCCACAGTCCATAAACATGACTGTTAGGCTAATCGTCTTCTCTCATTTGTGTGAATGGTTGTTTGTGTTTCTGTTGCCCTGCAACAGACTGGCGACCTATCCAGGGTGTACCCTGCCTCTCGCCTATAGAGTACTGGAGATAGGCACTGGCTCCATCGCAACTCTGACCAGGACTAAGCGGGAGTAAATGGATGGATGGATGGATGGATGGATGGATGGATGGATGGATGGATGTTATATTTTCCAGACTTTGTTTAAAGTATTACTGAAAATTCTGATGATGATATAATGTTAAGTATTGCTTATTTTTACGCGCCTGCCTGTTTCATAGAAGTTATGCAGATGCTGCAGTTTGGTCTGTGAAGCAGGAGATTGGGTGCTTAAGCACCACTCAGCTCCATCTGTCTGAACTTCAATGTATCTTATTATAGTTCTGCCAACTTTAAGTAGGGTATAAGTAAAAACATAAGTGATACATTATTTCTTGAAGTGTAGTTTTCATTTGTAACCTGCCTCCTTAAGTTGAGACTGAAAAACTGCCTCTTTACATCCATCTTCCATCCACCCTGTATCATGTTCTTTTGCTTCTTGACCCACTTGCAGAATCAAACCCAGAACTTGAAGCAAACAAGCTTATGTGCATCTTGCAGCAAGAACACTTTGGAAAAATTCACTTTAGTGACATCTGGATAGAGAGGATGCACACCCTGGATCCTGGTGGTAATCAGAAGATTGCTTTTAGTGAGAAGTTGCATCTCAGCTGGGTTCTGATTGTAGCAGAGCAGGTGGAAGATCTGAGCACAGTAACTGTTTGGGGCGCAGAAAATCTCCATTAGATATGATTTGGCTACAGCCGACCATGAGCATTGAAATTCAGATGAGGGGTGGTCTCTCAGCAGGACCTGGAATCTTTAGCTTTCCGATGACCAAAATGCAGACAGGTGTGTGATTTACACTTTTTTATTTATCTATTTATCCGAGTAAACACTGCTGGTTACAAATGCAAGCTACATGTTATATTTGTTAAACATTTTTAATGTTTTATTGTCCACTTTGCAGCAAACAAGGCAAAATCATGAGGTCAGATGTGGTCTGCATGGTATGCAAGGTCCACCTCTACTGTATGTGATATGTTACCTGCTGTAAATTAAGTAAAAAAAAAAAAAGGTTAATAAGTTAAGTTAAAAACCATCAATTAAATAATGCAGTTAAAAAGATCTTTTAAAAACGTATTAATCTAAGTTTAAAATGAAATAGCTACCTGCATCAGCATTAATGTTCTGACAGTTATTCTGTAACAAATATGTTACTTTCTGTAAGTGTTTTTCACAAATTTCTTAAAGATTTACATTGTATATATTTTTAACTTATTAGGGGAAGTGACTGTTTTTGTTAATGACATTGAGCTTGATTTGTTCCATGATAATCCTTCTTTTTTTAAGTTACAAATGTAATATGGTCTTGTTCTGTCCTCCAATAACACAGTTGAATTGAAATTTTGAACTATTTCACAGAGGGACATTTATAGGGTTAAAAAGATGTCTCAGTTTCTTCTCCTTCACAAATAGGTACTACCATCTGTTTGGCTAGCAAATAAAATCCCAATAAAACCTCTCATAATGTTCTGGTTGTAGCATGATAACATGTGGAAAGGTTTAAGTGGAATGCATACTTTTGAATTGTATCATGTAAACTTTAGCCTGCAGAAGGAAGCTGGTCCAAGAATAAGTAAGACTTTTGACTTCAAATGAAAAAAGAATAAGTGAAGTGGAATTTAATTCACCATAATACGTATAGGACCATAAGCTGTCAAAGCAGGATGATTGCTTCATCCCAGAACAGCTTAGTCACTAGTACATTGTGGTTGTGCTCATTTCTTAATGGGCTAGTCGTGTTCAGTGAATGTGATAAGTGAAAGAGTGAAGTATTAGTCATTATATAGGACTTTTTGAATGATGAAATTTACTTAGGGTGTGTCACCTGACTCAACTTCCCCAAAACATAAACACACACTGCTGAGTAATCATTTACAAAGAGCATTTTTTTTTTTTTTTTTACTTGCAACAAAGATGCATTAATAAAAAACTGAGTATAATTTAAAACTTTCTGCTGTTTCTGCTTTTACTTGTCATAGTAGCTACATCTGGGCTGGTGCTCTGTTCAGTTTTGACATCATCCTGGAGGGAAGTATTAGGTGAGCTGATGGTGCCAAGAACTTCCACTGCATGAAAAGTGGGATTTTTGTCAATATGCGGCACTGTAGATTGTCGTGGAACTTCAGGTTAGCGGCAGTTTAC